CCTGGTCAATCTCGGCCTGGTGGCCGGTTCTAATGAGAACACTGATCAGTTATAATGTGTATAAGAGCCAGAATAATTCCTTATTAGTACGAACGCTTAGAACTATTAATCAGTCTACGGAATATGAAAGGTCATTGTTTATATTGACGTTTGTGAAGTATCTCACTACTCTAGTATTTCTGCTACTACAAGTACAAGTACAGAGTTTGTGAGTAGGTGGTACAAGTACAGTATAGAGTTATATGTTGAGTTATCCTGTTGTGTGTTAGTTTGAGATTTGGGAGTTGTATTGCTGTGTTGACTGAATATAAGCACATAGACAGTCTTCACGAACTGAAATTTCATAACACTGGACCTTCGCGTCCACCAGCCAGCAAAATTACTGGACCGGACTAAATTTTAGCTGGACCAATATTATTTTGACATTTTTGACATAAGAGCAAAACAGTAATCATTTTGTATTTTACGTATAAATAGCCTTCTACACACTGCTATGATAAACAGTAGTAATACCTATCAAATATAATCACATGCCTTCTACACACGCAATGATAACAGTAGGAATACCTATTAAAATCATCAATACCTTCTACACACTGCTATGATAACAGTAGAATACCTATGAGTTGGTTAGCGATGAACAAAGTTAAAAAGTGTATCAGTCCTTGTGTTTTGAAAGAAGGCAGCGGCGAGGAAAAATCACACGCCTTGGCTTGCCGAGGTGTGTGAGTGTGATTTGCATCCCGAGTGCCGCAGTGCACGAGGCAACTAGGGGGGTTCGGGGCGCATGGCGCCCCGGAAAAAATTGAATCTGAACTTCATGAAATGCCATTTCCAGCATTTGGGATAAAAATTAGCTCTGCATTTGTACTCGTAATTTGGACATTTTTTAGCGCGATTTTTTTTTCATCTGAACAAATATTAGTTCGTTGAACATATTGTGGATAACTTGAATCACACATTTAGCAGTTTAGGCAAAAAGGAACAACACTCGCAATTTTTCAAAGCAGACTATTAAAACTTTAATGTATTTGCAACATCATAATCATTCAGTCAGCTTGTTTGCATTTTTGACAATTTTGAGGTATTTCAGTTTCATTTCAAGAAAACATACATGTGTTTGCAATCAAACTTCACTAAAAACCTTAATCAGGCTTTTTTAATTTTCATTGTCAGCTGCATCTTCATCACCAGTCTCGATCTGCGCTTAGCAATTGAATACAGTAACACGCATATTCATCATGTATGACTCGCGTATAGATAGGCGGACGGTTTTGGTTTTGGTTTGGTTTTGGTTTTGATTTTGGGTAGGTTCGGGTGCAAAGCAGTCAACGCAGGCAGTAGGCTTTGTGAGTTTCGACGGATCGACGACGGTGGTATACGGTTCAGTGTGTAATCGAAAGAATACAGAGGCAACCATACGTCAAAGCTTTCCGTCGGTGTAAATAAATGATGAGCGGCGTGAATTGATGTTAAAGACTGCTGTGGTATAAGCGTTACGAACTGTCGTTCATAAACATATGTGGAACGACTTCCGACAATGTCCAGTGATGTTTACAACCGTTGCGTTTATCTTCGAGGTTAAAGTTGGATTAATGAAAAAACAAACACGAAGAAGTGTGCGTTTTGATAATGCTTAGATGCTGCGTTTTTTCTGCCAGTTATGATTGACAGTAATAGTCTCATAATACTTTGAATTACAGTTATTTAATACTGTAACTAGAGTTGGCTGACAAAAAACGGGATGACCGACGCGTCGCATTTTAATGCTTCGTAAAATTTTACTGGACCGAGTGCAGAGATTGATTGGTGGTCTCGGCCAACGGTCCACCGCCTAACGTCGAAGACTGCATAGAAAGCATGTCTATGTCAGTGTTATGGATGGAACATCGTATTATAAAGGCTTAGCAATACCAGTTACATGAATGGTGGTTTAAACGAGTGTTATTTCATTAACAGTACCTGCAAAACGATGACTACTATCTCAGTCAATTATACTCTAGGGTCGTAGTTCCCCATGGTACTGCCGGAAGCGTTGACCTGGCACGGTCCGGTTATACCGGATATCGGGAACGTACCCTAGCTGGTAACATTTGATATGTTTACAGGCCGCTAGTAGCTCCCAAATGTGCTAACTGCAGAAAATGTAGGCGATCACCCGAATTTGTTTGATATATCAGAGTGGGCAGTTTATAGTGTGTGCGCAGGCACGCGATGGCTAAAGCGCATCACGGCGCGCGATCGCCGCAAGCCGATCCAGAGTACTACCCCAGACAGTTTTTTGCAAAATTTAGAGCCTGCGAAATGCGCATTTCCGGGCATTTTAGGGCCTATGTTGAAAGCACGACCAATCTGATCACTTTTATAAAGGTCAATTGTAAATTTCAAGAGGAATGTAGACTAAAGCTGAGTGTTTTGACTAAAGTTATCTAAAATATTGAGTATGAGTATAACGAATATAAAACATTGTTTACAAAATTGTAATTATATATACTATCAGTACATCAATATGAAAAATATATGGGTTGTTTAATATTTCCGTTCCAGTGCATCGTACTTCAGAATTACGTGAAGCGGGCACATGAAGGCCATGCCATGCAGTGGTGATTGTGGTGTGCGCGTGTGTGCGTTTGCTCTGTGTGTGTGTGTGTGGCCGTGTGTTGTCGCGTGCTGCTCATCTCTCTCCCGTTCATGTTTCTTCTCTCCTGCTACAGTAATTACAAACAAATTAATTGGTTCAAGTGCTACAGCAGTAATTTTAAAGCAAATCACTGGTCCCCCCACAGTTCGGAGACCAACCTCTTTTAAATGTGAGTCCAGTTTCAGAGCATTTGAATGTTCAAACGAAATCCTAGTTCCGGAGCCCACATTTTCGAACAATAGCGCGATTCCAAGAGCTTACCACATTCAACAAACATTAGTTCAGGAGACCCCATTTCAGATCTGAGTTAGTTCCAGAGACCCCCCCCCATTTTTGACTCTGCCACAGGGCACATACCTAGCCTTAATGGTGGGGTGAGTGCTCCCCCCCCCCGGGGTTTTATCCGCGCTCTGTATATGTTGCTCCTTGGTCCCTGCCACAATGTTTTAGTGCAAGAAGTGGCACGGCTGTTGCCGTAGGCTGCCGTGGCGGCCACTACGGCCCTGCGTTAGGGTTAGACTACGGGTGTAGGGAGTAGGCCTAGGCAACTCCCTAGGACTCAGGGTAGTGGAGTAGCGAGGTATGGTCCGGTCTGAGATAGTACAGAGGTAAGTTCTGGGTATACGAGGACCGTACCGGGTACGTTCGGCAAGCAACTGGGGGGGATATAGGACCCTTCTCAGCATAAATCTATAGCACAGAGACTGATTGTATATGTATTAACCGGGTGATTCAACCTCCGTATGCAGTAACGTTGCGTTTTAATTTAATATTTAGCAAACGTTGCAAAATTGAAATCATCGTTTGTCTTTGAAAAGGGGAGGGATTTGTCCTGTTTTAAACTTTAACCCGCTGGAACGTCGCTGAAACGTAAACTGAAACCGCGTCCGACGTAAACAGCAAGTAGAACAGAAACGTATTGCGATATACACTGTGGGGGATTGGGCCATGAGCTGTGATAGAGCGCATGGGTGGTTTGGACCCGATTTTGGTCTGAGGTACCGTGACTGTTAAGTTGGAGGTTTTTGCAATTTTATTTGTTTGCACACGCAAATTGTATATTACTTATTACTAGTTCGGTCGGGGTAGTAGTGCTGAAACGTTTAGTTAACTATCAGGGAGTAAGAATAATATAGGGAGTACTGACTCTCGAAACATGTTGAATTCACATTTGCGTTGCGCTAAGGCTTTACGATGAGTATATGACCGTGGCAACTCGAATAAAAATTAAATCTAAATTGGAGCGTTGCGACATCGTGCTCTACTAAAACTTTACTTTGTTTAAATAGCTTCTTGCCTTACGGAGTATAGCTTTGAAACGGCCAACAACATGGTTCATGTGTTTTAACTTAAGCTGGCCGGGCTCAGATTGCCCAGATAGCTTCGGACAGGGCTGCTGTGAGACTGTCTTGTCTGCTTGACAAGCAATGCCAGCCCTGTTGGCGAGCAGGAGTAAGCATAATATAGACTTCCTATATTGATATTCTATATTATATCAATACACCTTATATATGTATCCTATTATATTAATATATACACGTATATATATATACACCGATATAGTACACACGCTATTATATAAACATAATACTAGATTATCTTATATTATATTATGCTCATTATTATCATTACTCCGGCGCCAACATGGTGGCATGTCTGTCAACGGACAAGACCATTCCTCCAGCTAGCCAACTGTTCCGAAAAAGATATCTGGGCAATCTGAGCCGACAGCTTAGTTAAACACTAGGAACAAATGTGTTTGCACGTTCAAGGCGTATATCTCGTAAAGGCAGAGAGAGTATTGAAACAAAGGAAAGTTTTAGTTAGACGGACATGTCAACGCTCATTTAGATGTAATTTTTAGTCGAGTTGGTATAGTTTAATCATCGGGTAAATTTAGGCAGGCAAAAGTTGAAATTTCACGTAGTGTTTGAGAGTCATACTCCTCTATATTATCTTACTCCTCGGTAATATGTTATCTGGTAGGCATTCCCACTCGCCAACAGGGCTGGTAGCCCAGAATTCTACGTAGCCCTTATTGCATTTCTACTAGCTCGGCGCGCAGCGTTAGTTTCAAGCCCTGATTAAGTGTAATAAAGGGTTTGGAATTGTCTCTGCTGTCTGGCATAGCTTAGTACTATAAGGCCGCGTACAGTTGACCGCAGGCCTGCCAGCAACTGGACGCGGGCTAGTAGTACTAGAGTACCGTGCATAGTACAATATGTAAGCCAACAAGAGAAGCGTTTACATTACACCCTACAGGCCTACTTTGTTGGGTTACATTATTGTATCTACCTCTGGCCACTGGCACTGCACTGACTGGGTGTCTGTGTCACAGTTAACCTAGACCCGAATAATTCTGTCCCATATAACACTTTTTTATATTTTGGTGAGGGTTATATTGGCGACAGAAGCGGGGGTTCATTGAAATTTCGTGAGATCGCCATACAAATGCCATGCTGCTAATGCCGGCCCGGTACGGCATAGTGGCACAAAAAAAACCTACGGTTTTCCTTCTTACACTGACGTTACCTTGCTACTGATATGTGTATACATTCACTTCATATCGTTTATTTTACTTTTAAAAGATTGTTTTTCAGAAACCCCGCTTCATTAACGCTGTAAATTACGGGTGGCCATTTACAACAATCGACAATCACAGCGAGTCTATCAGGCCTCTGGCAGCGCAACACAGATACGAGCGCAGAGACCAGGGGAGATTCGTAAGGAGTCCGTCTGATTGCGCTCTGCATTCGTTTGTAAGAAGGGCCAACGTAACTTTACGAAAGTTAATGATAGCGGGGCCGTAACACTTTACCGCGGGCCGCGCGTCCGGCGCGTTTCTCGAAAACAATCTTTTAAGAAGTTAAATAACGATTGAAGTGTGAATGTATACACATATCTAGTAGCAACGGTTAAAAGCCGATGTAGAAGGGAACGGTAGAGTTTTTTTTTCCGCGCAATGCGGCGTACGGGCGCCGCCGCATAGCAGCGCTGCATTTTGCACGCGAATCTCACCGACTCGAATTTCCAATGACACGTTCGGCCCGGCGGGGCCATATTGACCTCAGCAAAATGAAAAAGGGTCTACTATGGGACAGAATTATATCGTCTACAGTAAGCCGCGAACAGGGGCGCGTTTCACTAACCGTTCGGTTCGTAGTTTCTTCGCTATTTTTCACAAGTGGGATCGGTAAATAGCGAAGAACACGCGCGCGCGGCGCTGTGTTTCACAAAGCTCCGTTCGCTACAAGTTATTCGGGTATTTTACGCAACACTTTACGCGGCACCTCCTGCAGGCGGTCTCGGTAAACTTTATGCGAAGGACTTGCGGCTGTATTTAACCTATAAAAATAAGGTAGCGCAGTGGGCTGTATATTGTAGCAGCGATGTTGCAGGAGGTTGTTTCAGTAATTCGCACCCTAACCTTGTACTGACAACTGATAGTGGCCTATATTAGGCACACTATTCACGGCAGTACAAGTCTGGCCGTGCGTGTTACACCTGTACACGAATCGGTTGGGGCGAACAACGAGGCCTGAGCATGACAGTGTTGACACAGCGTTAGCACGTAGCGAAGCTCCGAGGAATATGAGTCCCCATGGAGCACAGGCATTAGCACGCACCTACCTAAAGACACTTATCACTTATTTCACCGAGTAACTCCTTATCGCTGAACACAACTGCAAGCAGGTTTATAGCTATCGGCGAGCAAACTGCGAACAACGGCAAGCAGTGAGCACAACTGCAACGCAGCGGCCACCCAGTGTATAGTCTAAAAGCAATTGGTCTACACTGTAAGGTGGTCGAATGGTTCCAGGCCTATCTGTGCAGAAGAAGCCACATGACAGATGTCGGAGGTACCTTTTCTACCAAAATGATATAACATGTGGGGTACCTCAGGGATCGATTTTAGGACCGTTGCTATTTTGAATACATGTAAACCATATTGCAGACGGTGTAAAAACTAAGGTTTTATTGTATGCTGATGACTTGGCGCTGTTAGTATCAGCAACTGACATTGAGGTTGTCCAGGAAAAAATAAGCTTGCAATCGGTTGCGATGAGTAGCGATACCGCGCATGCATATTTGCTAATTAATTAGACTAATCGTGCTTCAATAAACTCAAAATTCACAGAGATAATAGCTGAGACATGTTTCTATTATATATCTAGAATTTATAAAAATGTAACTCAAATAGTTAGCGTCATATGATAGTTAGTACACTTTGCTACCGACAGTAGCCGCGCGTGTATTAGCCTATGAGCGATAACGCGCGTGCTTATTTTCTAATTAATTAGACTAATCGTGCTTCAATAAACTCAAAATTTACAGATATAATAGCTAAGACGTGTCTATAATAGCTAGAATATATAGAAATGAAACTCAAATCGTTTCGCCATATATGATAGTTAATAGTACACTTTCCTACCGGTCATAGGGTATGCGGCAGAGTATGCAAAATGAAAACGAAATGTCACGAATTCTATTATTATCCTCCAATCACAGGTCGGAGCAATTCGTCTGTTTAGACCATAGAGTTGTATAAATATAATATATTGGGGCTCTACTATATAACTCTATGGTTTAGACGCATGTCTATGGGGGCCGGTTTCACAAAGCGTAATTAATTACCACTAGGGGAGGTCTCTGTAAGTGTCAGTGAGAGTGACATAAACCTGCAATTAATGCTATGCATTAATATAGCTTAAGTTAACACAGCTTTTCACTCTGGAACAGGAACATAAAGCCAATCAGTAGCATATCTGGGGTTTTCAGACAACAATCTTTTTAACATGTGCTGCCTGAAGTGTATATAAAAAAATTCTATAATGGTGATTCCATGCAGAATCTGATTTTGCTTGATCTGAATAAATGTATATTTCCATAAATATATTTGCGGAAATATACATTCATACTACATATTTATATAAATTATAAATTCCGTAAACCCATCTTGTACTGCTATATCGATGTACTATTTAGAAATTCACAAAATATTTAATCGTAACACGTGTCATGCAAACAAAATTTGAAACGTGTTATAGTGATTGTATTGTGATATCTTATATTTCAGGATTCAGATGCAACATTCACATTAACAATGCCTGCCCCATCCAGTGTCGTGAAACAACTTTGGGAGACAACACTTGATCATAACTTCAATACCCTCAATGTTGCAAGTGTTTTCAGGTATCTGTTTGTTTTTAAAATTACTCAGTCTAGTTTTTTTTATCTAGTTTTGTGCAGTAGTAAATATTTGCCAGTATTATGTCAAGAACAGCTAGCTGTCTGCTTCCATTGCTTACAGTTACACATTATAACATTAGATTGTAAATATTCTCACAGATGTGTTTTAAGCATCTATTGGCTGGATTTGGTTATAATTGCATTTGAAATGAAAGTCAAGAGAGGTAAACACTGTAGTACATGTAGAAACAATTGTAGTTTATCTCCTTCCAAATATGTGTATCTTTGTTTCCTGCAGGCATTCAGGGCTGCATCTTATAGTTGGGTGTGAAGATGGAACTATAAGAATATACAACTTGCCTTTGCAACAAACCAAGAACAGTATAAAGGTGTGTACCTCCATGACTCTTAAATATGTACATGATAGTCATATATAGGTACATACATGTATATAGGTTGTCTACTTGTGGTTACATCACAGGGTTCTCCCCAGGATGAAACTCAAACAGGGGGGAGTTTTCCCAAACGGGGCGCGCGCGCCCCGTTTGCGCAACGTAGGGAGAACCCTGCATCAGGCATGTTTTCAGAATAATGTAGGTTGGTATTCATTCTAGATTAAGCAATAAAAACCAGATGAGACTACCATAAAAGAAAACTATTCGTTCATCGATAACTACTCATTTCTAAAACTGCCGCAACTATTTTCCTACCGGCTCTAGAAAATAACCCAGTTGAACTACGCCCCGTGCTGCCTGTCCTCTCCCCCCACCCCTGTTTGATTCTACCTTCTAACTCATTTGTTTTGCTTGCAGCTGAAGTCACAGCTGAACAGTAAAGCTGGGCTTTAGGCCTTACACTGCTGACTTTATGTTGGCGAATCGGCGAGTTTAACCAATTTCCAAATTCGGCAACTCTGAGTTGGCGAAAATGGAACATGTTCTAATCTCCCAACTAGTTGCTATCGACCAGTTGCTCGCTCGATTTTCGCATTTACATTGTCGGCCGATTGTCGGTCGTATATTTGGGAAGTTGGTCCAATTCGCCAACACAAAGTCGGTAGTGTAAACCCAGCTTAAGGGTGGACCAATCTAGATGATGGCGGTTCATGATGCTGGCATTTTGCTTGCAGCTGAAGTCACAGCTGGACAGTAAGGGTTCATGATGCTTGGCATATTTAGATTGCCAGGTGCGTTTATTGAGTGCTGCCTGCAGCGTCCGCATGCATGCCTACAGCACACCTTTGAATCCATCATGTACGTTTTTCCCCCCAAACTGGCCATTACCTCATTTGTCTAATTTTCCCTCAGAAGTTTGCATTTTGCTTGCAGCTGAAGTCACAGCTGGACAGTAAAGGCGGACCGATCCAGATGATGGCGGTTCATGACGTCACGCGATTCTCTAGCAACGATCTGCTCGTCGCGGATTCTCACGGAACGTTGACGGTGTTCTGTAACGAGCAGATTCTTCATCGTCAGCGTCTGTCCGACAGCAGCATCAACTGTCTCCAAGTAGAACAGGATGCGTGTGAGTGAACCGTGACCCCGACGTGTGAGTGAACCGTGACGCCGACGTGTGAGTGAACCGTGACGCCGACGTGTGAGTGAACCGTGACCCCGACGTGTGAGTGAACCGTGAC